GGACTGGAAATCCCCTTTAAACCAGCTATTCCTCTACTGGGAATTTTCCTGGAGGATCTTAAAACATCATATCACAGGGATATATGTGTGCCTATGTTTATAGCAGCACAATTTGTGATAGGCAAATCTTGGAAACAACCAAGGTTAACATCACCTGAGGAATGGATGAAAAAGGAGTGCTATTTTTACACAGTGGAGTATTATTCAGCTATGAAAAATGATAAACTAGAAGCCTTTATATTGAAGTGGATGTGACTTCAAGATATAATCATAAGTGTAATAAACCAGACACACATGTGCAAATATTGTACAGTTTTCCCAGTATAAGAACTCAAAAGAAGAAATACATATAGAAAGGTATAATGCAAGCAAAAGGAAAGTAGGAACTTGAGGACTCACTAATTAAAAGAGGGAAAGAAGATCTAGGAAACATGACAGTGTCAAATGACAGAGTTATATGTAGAAGATGGGCAAGACAATGATCCTAAGAATCTCCAGAAGATTTTTGAATTCAGTAATTAATTGGAAATATTGTCACCCTAACTATATGTACTGACACATGTGAACTAAGCAACGACACTGAAGATACCAATTTGTAATAGTTGGTTCATTCTTGGAGTGCCTGTCATTCCGGTCTTCAGAATATGGACTGCTTGTCATGACCTGCCAGTTGCTTCTGTGCTGTCTCTCAGGTAAATCATTGTTCAAAAAGAAGGTGATGGTGAATGAAGGTGGGAGAAAGGAAAAGGGATGTTGTGTGACTGTCCTACTCCAAGGTTGTATATGATTAGATTTCTGGACTTATATGTAAACATAAGAATTATATAATACTTTATGCCTATTTTTAAAATATATTCTATTTCTTAAATGTTTTTTATCGTATTCTGTAGGGATTTAAAGTTCAACATATCAATACTTGATGAAAAGTACCTGTTCCATGTTATGCCTAAAATGTTTGATATTCAAACAGATAGTGAGGTTAAGCTCAACAGCCTAGGTTATATGGTAATTTAAAAGTGATCGATGATGTAGAGTGTGCTTAAATAGAGTAACATGGAGAGAAAACATTCTCTCAGTCTTTCACAGAGAAAACATTGGCCAAGAAATGGCCGTGACTCATCCATATGGCTGATACTGACAAAGGATCTGCAATGTGAGGTACAGGATCTCAGGATAAATCCTTCAAGGATTTCACTGACCTTATCAGACCCAAAAGCTACAACTCTCATTGCATAGATCCTGCTTTACTTTAGTCTTAACAGTCCAGCAGAAAAGTATAAAAACGAATTATAAGAAGTAAAGCCATGATGTTATGTTGAGCTGTAGGGTACTCAGGTCCACAATTTCTGACATTGCCAGTGAAGCTGACAACCCAATACTATTATGAACTCCTGGACTCTTTTAAAATATTTTGCTGAGTTAACACACCTATAATACTCAAATAATGGAACTAAACAAAAAAAGCAGTTACAGATGTTCTATTTTGTATCTTTGTATTTAAAATGGTTAGGATTCATATATAGTTACGTTCTCTTAATGAATAGAGAAATTTGTTCTAATAGTGTTTGTAAATAGGATATCATGTCCACATCTTGTACAGCCATTACCCACTAGGAAGAATGTATGCAATGTGTTAATTATTGAAACTGTCCAACCAATTTGATTTGAAACTGTCTCATTGCTATTTGTTTCTCAATAATATTATGGAAAAAAATGAAGTAAAGCCATGCTGTTTTGTTGACCTTTAAGGGACTCAGGTCAACAATTTCTGAATTTGCCAGTGAAGCGGAAGGCCCAATACTATTATGGACTACTGGACTCTTTTAGAACATTTTGCCGAGTTAACACACCTATAATATTCAAATAACAAAACTACACAAAAAAGGGGTCTATAGATGAATGTGCATTTTGTATCTGTGTATTGTTAGGATAGATATCTAGTTACATTGTCTTAATGAATAGAGGGATTTGTTCTAATAGTTTTTGTAAATAGGATATCATGTCCACATCTTGTACAGCAATTACTCACTAGGAAGAATGTATGCAATATGTTACTTATTGCAACTGTCCCAACAATTTGATTTGAAACTGTCTCACTGCTATTTGTTTCTCAATGAAATTGTGAGAATAAAAAGAAGTAAAACCATGCTGTTGTGTTGAGCTGTAGTGGACTCAGGTCAACAATTTCTGACTTTTCCAGCGAAGCGGAAGGCCCAATAGTATTATGTACTACTGGACTCTTTTAGAATATTTTGCTGACTTAACACACCTATAATATTTAAATAACAGAACTAAACAAAAAAAGGGGATACAGATGAATGTGCATTTTGTATCTGTGTATTCAAAATGGTTAGGATAGATACATAGTTACATTGTCTTAATCAATAGTGGGATTTGTTCTACTAGTGTTTGTAAATACGATATCATGTCTGTGTCTTGTACAACAATTAACCACTAGGAAGATTGTATGCAATGTGTTAATTATTGAAACTGTCCTAACAATTTGATTTGAAACTCTCTCATTGTTATTTATTTCTTATTAAAATTATGCAGAAAAAAATAAAGAATGATGAGGAGGCAAAAAATAGACAAAAATACACAATATATTAATTATTGTAACTGTCCTACTATCTTGTTTTGAAATTGTCTCCTTGCTATTTTTTCTCTATAAAATTAATTTTAAAAAGAGAAGATATTTCACCTTTAAAAATCCATTATTTTACAATAAATTCAGTTTTTTATTTTTGTTTTCTTTTTTATATATTATATTTTATTAAATATTCATATATAACAGTTAAACACTATTTACATAATTTCACACTATGTGATTATAAAATAATTTACATATTTTATAATTATTTTACCATCAATTAGGCACTGATACAAATATAGGGAAGAAAAGAGTTCAGAAAATTTGCCTGAAATTTGCAACTGTAGGGTAGGGAGCACCAGCATTGACATTGTCTATTCTATATGAAGAAAATTTTTTAAAAAATGAGTAGGAAACCACGTTGTGAAGCCAGACTGCCTAGTTTCAAGTCCAAAGTTAACATTTACTAATCTTTAGTAAATTACTTGACTTCCTTGTTTTTCCATCTCCCAACTTTTTAAGTAATGTTAATTATAGTTTCTGTCCAAAAATTTTTATGAGGATAAAATCACTTAAGAGATAAAAGTAAAATCTCTAGATACATATGAAAAAAGAAATAAAAGTAAAGTCAATGTATGTCATTTGATATTTATTCTGTAAATATTAAACATTATTAACTTTACTAATAAAAAAGAAAATGAATCTTACAAAAAAACACAAGTATGCACTAGAATAAATCAGACATAAGAAACTGAAAAACTATAAAACATTTTTTAACCATACGACTTGTATGAAACATAAAGAGAACCAAGCAAGTGACAAATTTAATTTGTGATACATAAATTACAAGATAAATTTGTTTTAAGCAGATAGAAACCAAGCAGATAATCACATTCCAAGAAAGAATCTCAGGTTAATTTTTAAAAGCAAGAAAGCCTTTCAAATGCCATTTTATTTAATCAGCAACTTGAAGCTGTGAGTTATATTGTCACTTTTAAAGAAGGATTTTAATTTCAGAGAAGTTACATGGGCTAGATAACATAGCACAACGTGTTACTTAATGTTATTAGAATCTGAGTCTCTATTTTAACTGCAAATGTTTTATACTTCGCTTCATGTTAGACTTTTGCTGTAAGACATAAACTGATATTTGAGAGAATAATTAAATCTATCTTCTAAGCACAATTAAGTTGTTAGTTGACTATCATGAGTGGATCAAATCCAGCCTACTGCTGTTTCTATAAATAAATTTTTATTGGTCCCCAGCAATATGCATGCATTTTTGTATTGTCTTTTCCTATTTTTGCATTACAACAGAAAAAAATACAATGGTTTCAACAAAGCCATACAGAACACAAAGGCAAAACACTTTATAATCTAGCCCTTAACAAAATATTTGTCATCTTAAAAACAAGCGGTAATAGACAACCATATTCCAATCTTACATAGCTATACCTGTTAAACTAAGCAACAGATTTCACTATAAAAATAGATAATATATCAACCATTGTTAATCAGCTATTCTTGGTTTGAAAATCTATAATATATGTATTGTTGTATGTTACCCTGTTTCTGTCTTTGTTTCTGACTTTTGTTCTTGCTTTTGTTTTTAATTTTCAAAGTAAAATTAAATGAAATTTTAAAAGAATTGTCAATACTGAATGTATTCAACTAAAACACAATGATTTCAGCTACGAAAAAAGTACAGAAGCAACATCCATAGATTAGACTGTAAAAGTGATAACAAATATGAAAAATATTTAAAACTTTTCATATAACTAAGTGATTGAGATAACAAAGCAGAACAAATCAAAAAAGAGATTTAGGGGGCCCAGGGAGATAGCTTAGTAAAATAAGTGCTTGCCTGGCAAGTGCAGGGTCCTGTGTTCAATCTCCAGTATCCCCCCAAAATAAGCTAAAAATAAAAAAGGAGATTTAGAATGTAAACATGGAAAGGATAGAGTTAGCAATTACATTAATTATAAAGCAATACATCGGGCTGGGGTGATGGCTCAGTTGACTAAGTGCTTCACTGGCAACTGCAAGGCCTGAATTCAATCCCTGGTTCTAAATAAATAAATAAATAAATAAATAAATAAATAAATAAATGCAATACGTCAAACCAAGTTATCCGCAGAAACATTAACGTCATTAATATGTATGAAAATTCTCATTAGTACTGTACTTTGAAAAAGAAAAAGAGAATTAAGGTAATCTTTATTTTCATAGTGGTATACTCTTTTTAATATCACTTTATTTTCAAGAAAGAATATGACCCATTCTGCCAAGAAGACAAAATACCCAATAAATGATAAATGTCTGTGAGCACTCAAAGTGATGCTAAGTAGAAAGTCTCTTTTTCAAGTGGATTGTCTCATAATGAGTCACTTGCTGATTCTCTTTCCACAACTCAGAGTGTTTTAATACTCAAGAGATGCATGAACACCTTCCTCATTGCTACCTTCATTTCTCTATTCCTGAAGGTGTAGATGACTGGATTTAGGAAAGGAGTCAAAACTGCATTAAATAAGGCTAGAAATTTGTCCATATGTGTTGGAGGAGAAGGGCACATATAGAAAAAAATAAGTGGACCAAAGAATAAAGCAACCACAGTAATATGAGCTGACAGAGTAGAAACTGTCTTGTGTGAATGGCCTAAGGAATGTTTTTGAAGAGTACCCAGGAGAAAAAGGTAAGATAGCAGAAGTAAGAACAATGTACCCAAGGAAATGAACCCACTATTAGCCGTGACAATGAATTCCAGGTTATAAGTATCTGTGCAAGCAAGTTTTATGAGACGTGGTATGTCACAGTAAAAGCTATCCAATGTATTAGGGCCACAGAATGGCAAATTTACAACAAAAGTCAATTGAGTTGATGAATGAATTATACCAATAATCCAGGCACTTACTACAATAACAATGCACTTCTGTGGGCTCATGATAGCCAAGTAGTGTAGAGGCTTACATATAGCAACATACCTGTCAAAGGCCATGGCTATGAGAATGATCATCTCAGTGCCTCCAACAGCATGGCTAAAGAATATTTGAGCTATGCATCCCCCAAAAGAGATAACTTTCTGCTTCCTAAAAAGATCAATAATCATCTTTGGTGCTGCAATGGAGCAAAATATTAGATCAATGACAGAGAGATTAGCCAACAGAAAATACATGGGAGAATGCAAGTAAGGGTCACAGATTACAGTGATTACTATGAGGAGATTTCCTATTAAACTCGATAAATAGAAGAGACAAGAAAAGAAAAAAATAAAAACCTGGATCTGTAAGGAATTGGAAAGCCCCAGCAATACAAATTCAGACACTAGAGAGTGGTTTTCTCCATTCATTAACTCTTTTGATAAATTCAACTTCATACCACATAGTGGAAAAAAGAAAAAATTCTAATTAATATGACTATATTGATACCTACTATGGAAAAGTATAAATTATGAATGCAAATATTACTTGAGCATTTCAAAGTAACCAAGTAACGTTCCTTTAACCACTATTGCTGCTATTACATATGAAAGTAGATTAGTTTCCTCATGGCTTGTTATCACAAGAGTGAGTGGCCTAGTGGACTGACACACGTGACACCTGATGAAACACAAGCAAAGATTATTGGTGTTAACTCACTGTTGGTGGGATCAATGTTAACAACCCCACCCCTGCAGGAATAATAAACCAATTACATACTCAGATAGACAAGGGTTTATTGTATGGTTCAGATTTCCAGAATCCTGCGACCTCTTTGTTGCTTAAATGGGAAATTACATTGTATTCCTCGCACTTCTCAAGATAGTATTCATTATCCAATCTTCAAATTGAATTGCATTTCATCTTTCTCTATTAATGACATACTTATACATGAAATTTACTTACTCTACTTGTTCGTGCTCATTTCCCCTTAATACTACAAGTTGACTATAAAATATCCTTCTTTTAAACATTTATTCCCCTGGTTTGCTCATAGAATATCTTGCAAATAATAAATGACCAGAAAAATATTATTGAGGATTGAAGTGACATAGTTATTATTCATTAATTTATTATGCTTCCTAAAAATAACTAATCTAAACATTAGGAACATAGCCAAAAGCAAAACAGGAGAAACTTCCCATCTTCAGAGAGAAAGAGGCAGATTATGACAAAAGAAGTACACTATTATTACAAAATAACTACATAAAACAATATGTTATCCAGGCATGGTAGCTCGAACCTGTAAGGCACACGCAGAAATATTGTTGCCATCAGATCAAGGTCAAGCTCAACTGTGTAGTGAAATCCTGTTGACAGAGAAAGAGGGAGAGAGAGAGAGAGAGAGAGAGAGAGAGAGAGAGAGAGAGAGAGAAGA